ATTTGTTAGCCATTAGGTAATGTATTTTGCTTAGGCCATACTTTTGCTTCCTAGTTAGTTGCACGATTATTTTTGTCTTCCTGAGAAGTTTGTCCTCTACAGAATTTGGGCTGGGAGTGTATCTAAGAGTGTTTGGCTAGCTGTTCCCATGGTTTGCCTGGATGGTGCGATTTCCTTGGTTATTTGTTGGAAGCTTTGGTAGAAAGCTGTTGTGGTGGATAACTGTTCTGTTTTTGCCTTTGTCAATGCGACAGTGCTACCACAGTGCGTTAGTGACTAATCCTCCCGGTGTGAGAGCTCTGCATCCCTCGAGATATCATTGTTACTGGTAAGATAGTTTCCTTTCCTGCTATAGTGAGTGTTCAGTGTCTACTTCCATGTGAGAGGCGACAGGAGGCTGACTATAGTGGGAGTGAAGATTGGTTAATATGTAGAAGGGACAAAGGCAACTTTCTATTCATCTATGCCACATGTAGTCTGTGCTTTATGTATTTGTTTGTTTTCATTTTTATTCATAGTCTCATAGTTTCTAAATCACTGGATGCTAATTAGTCTTTTAAATTTTTATTTTTAGTTATGTGTGTATGCGTTTTTATGTGTGGATATGTATACATGAACATTGATGCCCCCAGAGGTGCCAAGAAAGACATTGGAAATCAACTTACAAGCAGCTGTGAGGCCTCTGCATAGGTGCTGGAAATTGAACCTGGGACCACCGGAAGGAAGTGCAGTATTTCTTAAGTGCTGAGCCATCTTGCCAGCCCCAAGGCTACCTTTCTTTATTTCTAGATCCTTTTTGGTTTTTCAAGACAGGGTTTATCTGTAGCTTTGGAGGCTGTCCTGGAACTAGTTCTGTAGACCAGGCTGGCCTCGAACTCACAGAGATCCACCTGCCTCTGCCTCCCAAGTGCTGGGCGCCACCACTGCCTGGCCTCATTTCTAGATTCTGTAGTACTTTCTCCTTTATAGATAGTGTTTTATTATTTAGATGAGGCTGGCATTGAATTGATTCATTTAATTTTATTATGTGTTTGTGTGTTGCCTGCATATGTCCAAGTACTAAGTACATGCCTGGCATCTCTGGAGACCACTAGAGGGCATTAGAGCACTTAAGATTTCTCTAACCCTCTGGTTTTAAATCCTTCTGCTACTCTAAGTCGACATGTTCTTAGTTTGTCATCTTTAAAACTCTAAATTCTGTAGATGTCTATCTCTGAGACAAGATTTTGTGAAGTCTTATGTCTATTCCCTGTGTCCTGTCTTTTTCTGAAACATTTGCTAGTATTATTGGTTTCATGTTATTTTCTTATTATTTGAGAGGGTGAAGGAGAGAGGAAGAAATGGGGGGAGGATGAGAATATATTTTTTCTTTTTTTCTTGAGACAGGGTTTCTCTGTATTGCTTTGGAACCTTTCCTGGAAGTATCTCTGTAGACCAGGCTGGTCTTGAACTAAGAGATTCTCCTGCGTCTGCCTCCCCAGTGCTGCCACTAAAGGTATGCGCCACCAATGCCCGGCTGAGAATATCATCTCCCTACCCTCCTCTCCCTCTGCATTTATGAGCATTGATTGGTGTTTTGCCTGCATGTGTGTCTATAACTAGAGTTATAGACAGTTGTGAGCTGCCATGTGGTTCTGGAAATTGAACCCCTGTCAAAAGAGCAGCCAACGTTCTTAACTGCTGAGCCATTTCTCTAGCCCTCTATTTGGTGATTTTTTTTTTTTTTTTAAATGTTACAGCATTCTCTTTATATTCATTTTATGTGTCTTCATTTTTCTCATGAATTAAATACTGTTAATAAATTGTTTAGTATTTCTCAATTGATAAATTGGCTGGCTATATAATTTGTTTTAATCATTTAAATGATACTTCCTATTTTCCTACCCTTTAGTCATACTAGCTATTACCAGATTACAAAAATATTTTTGCCACTTCCTTGGCCAAAACATAACAATTTTTTTTTGGGTAAAATTCCCATTTTCTTATAATTTACATTTTAAAACAGGACAGATTTTTAAAAATATGTACTCTTTCTTAAGCTAGGGATGATGAATCTTAAGTGCTGATTGTTTGAGGAGAGGGATTGATGCCAAGTGTGGGATGGAACAAAGCTGGCTTCTCTTGGATCAGGACAGTACATTATGTGAAGAATGAGCAGGGAAAACATTATGTATATTTAGTAGAAACTCATTTTTCACCCTTTTATCTCTTTTCTAATTAGTGTTCTGATACACCTTGCTTATCTTTGTTCCTCTGAGATATAACAGAGCAGTCTTCTCAGTTAAACATTACATTACTATCAAGGATTTCTGCTCTGGACACGGGCTAGACTGTGTTTGTTAGCTTCCGAAGGAAAAGCCTACATTTGTTATTTTAGGTAGTGTAATTTCTAGATTATCCTTTGTCTTTGAAAAGTAGCTGTGAAAAATACCTCTGAGGCTGTCCCCCTCCCCCTGTTTCCCCCTATAAGGTTTCTCTATGTAGCTTTGGTTGTGCTGGAACTTATTTTCTAGACCAGACTGGCTTAGAGATCAAACTGACTCTGTCCTAAATAAATTCATTTATGTATTTATTTTACATCCCAGTTGCAGTTTCCCTTTCTTATTAGGATGAGTGTGTTACCAGGGAGATGGGTGGGAGTGTCCAAAGCTGGTAACTAGGGAGGGCCCATGCTCAGTGACATCCAAGACTATTGACAGCTACCAAACCGGGTGGCTGTGCTATTTTCTTGAAATAAAATGTTTTAGAGGTTCAAAGATGTCTCCCTGTAAGAATTCTTTTGCCTGCCTTGCTTGAACACTTTCAAATTGGGGCAGAACAACTTCTAAAAGGGAGTTTTCTCTAAACAATCACTGATCCTTCTCTCCAGGGTGAAATATACCCAGGAGATACTGACACAGTGGGGAAGACTTTTGTGGTCAGCAGGCGAACTATGCAGATTGCTGATGTGTATAACACGGAAGAAAGAAACAAAAGCCAAAACAAAACAAAAAACAAAAAAACAAAAAAAGAAAAACACAAAAGACCCAGAGGCAGATTGAGGTTCAACCTGAAGATCAGGGAAGCAAAGAAGCCAAGCTACCAGAGCGCTCTTACCTCTAAAAGGGTTGGGGCATTCCTACTCTCAACTTGGCAGGAGAATGCATGCCTGACCCTGACTACTAAAGAGCCTGCTCCTATCTTTTATACCCTCAGGTGCTGAGATCATCTTGGTGTCAGCTGTTTCTCTTTAAGACCGGATCAATTTTGTGTAGATCTGGGTGGCCTTGAACTCACAAGAGATTGTCTCTTAATCCTGAGTACTGGGATTAAAGGTGTATATCACCACTGCCTGGTCTCTATAGTTTAAAGCTGACTTTGCTTTCTGAATCTTCAAGCAAGCTTTAATAAATAATAAATAATATATCACAACAAAAGTGCTACTTCTAATCAGGGCCTTTCAGAAAGTGTACATCCCCAACTGTTTGTTGAAGTTGTAAATAAGATCTTATCAGAATTATGTGCACACTTGCTGTGTGTTCATGTGGAAGCCAGAGGAATATTTTAGTGCCTTCCTTCCAACTCCCTTTTCCTTTCTCTTCTTGGCATGTCTTCAATGAACCTGGGGATCCTCTTGTTTCTGCCTCCCCGGCACTGAGGTTATGGGTGCTGTCGTGCTTGTTTGTCTGTTTTATGTGGGTACTGTCTGGGCTAAAAAATGAGTCCAAAGCCAGCCTGGGAAATAAACATGACCCTCAGAGAGAAAATCAATTGTTACCAAGTTCATATGGTACCAAAATACCTAGGCTTAAAAAAAAAAAAAAGAAAAAAGAAAAAAATCCATGAAAAAGAACAGAATTGGAGGAAAAGTCCAGGTTGGATACATAGTTGAGCAGTAAAATGCTTAGCTGCTAAAACAAAGTTCTGAAGTGTAAATCTCTGGGTTTGATGCATATGCGCGCGCGCACACACACACACACACACACACACACACACACACACACAGAGAGAGAGAGAGAGAGAGAGAGAGAAATGAAACAAAACTCTACCTCAACAGAAAGCCCAGAAACAGACTAACACAAAATGTTGTCAATTGATTTAACACAAAGTTGCATATTTGTGCCAGGAATTCAATAGGATAAAGACAGTTTTTTTTTTTTTGGGGGTGTGTGTGTGTGTGTGTCAAATAATGCTGGACAATTAGGTATCCATTTATAAGAACACAAAGCCTTGACCCTAATCCATCCTTCCTTCCTTCCTTTTATTTTCAGAAGTGGTCTCTCGTGGGCCAGCTTACATTATAATAGTGCCTCACATCCTGGGTGCACTATTGGAGCTTCTACTGGAGGACTGTTCCTAGGTTCCTGGATCATTTCATGTGAAACATGCTTAGTTAATTGAATCTGTTAATAATCTTTGACAATTTATAGAAGAAATACATTTATGCCTGGTGGCGGTGGTGGCAGCGGCAGCGGCACACGCCTTTAGTTCTAGCACTTGAAGGCAGGCAAATGTCTACAGAGCGAGTTCCAGGACAGTCAGGTCTACACAGAGAAACAGAAACCTTGCCTGGTGGTTGGTGGGGGGACAAATGGACTCTAATCTGGTTTGCTTGAAAGTCCTTTCTCAAGGTGAAAAGATGGCTCTGTGGTTAATAGCTACTGTTGCTCTAGATTCCCAGCACTCACACAAGGTGTTTCACAATCATTCATAACTCCAGTCCCAAGGGTTTCTTTACCCCAGCTGAACTCCTTGGGTACCAGATAGACACAAGCAAAACTCATATACATAAATAGTTCTAAAAATGAAAGAAAGAAAAAAAAAAAAAAAGAAAGAAAGGAAAGAGAAAAGTTTCCCCCTGTGGTTATAGTACTGAAGGTTTTGAGTGGGACAGGAATTAGTGTGTTTCCTTTTCCTGAAGATTGACAGTTTTGATGTGCTTTGTACTGCTAATACTACATAGGCAGTATTTCCTTTTATTTTTCCTTTGTTTTACAATTCATAATTATTTGTCATTGCAGGCATTCCACCTTCTAAACCAACTCTTCTAGCCAATGGTGATCATGGAATGGCAGGTAATAACACTACAGGTAAGTGGTTGCTCGGATTCATCAAATGTGGAAGTTTCCATAGTAAACATCTTTTGATATTTACTTTTTTCTGAGTATTATTTTGGAAGTATATGAGTTATTTCTGAGAACCTTGCCATTCCTGTTGGTTGTATTTTAAACCAGGCATCTTTCAACAATAGAAAGAGAAGAATTTGCCTTCACAGTCCTTCAGTGTTAACTGGGAGTGATCCACATAAGAATTGGATCAAAAAAAAATTTAACAAAGTAATTCTTATTTTTTATGTACATTGGTGTTTTGCCTGCATCTGTGTCTGAGGGTGTCAGATCTTGGAGATACACATGTTAGCTGCCATCTGGGTGCTTAGAATTGAACCCCAGGTCCTTTGGAAGAGTCAGTGCTCTTAACCTCTGAGTCATCTCTCCAACACCTATTTATTCAGTCTTAAAACGAACTCTTATAAAGATGCGCAAAAAAAAAAAAAAGTCATTACTTTGCTATATGAGAAGCCTTTCTCTGTTCCCTGCAGCCCCAAGAAGTTAAGACAGGTCTCCAACACCTGGATGTGCTCTGTACTTAGTTTCCAAATTCAACATTAAACACACAACAGCCAAGACCAGTGGCAAATGCCTTTAATCCCAGTGTTTGGGAGTTTGAGGCCACCCTGGTCTACAAAGTGAGTTCCAGCACAGCCAGGGCTGTTATACAGATAAACCTGTCTCAAAAAAGCAAAGCAAAACCAAACAGACAAGCAGACAAACAAACAAAAAGAAACCTGCAACATTAAATTAAGGTGCTTTGTTTTGTCTTTAATTTTTTTCTCTCCATTTCTTTTTTCTTTACTGTTGCTTTTGGGATTTGTTTCTATCTTTTAACTTCTAGCTCGGTACTAGAACTGTGATACTCTTTCAGCATTGAGTTCCTTTAGGGCTTCACCTAAACCTCCTCCTCTTTGCCCCAGTGTGTTTACAATGAGCAAAATTGCCATAGCCATAGGAGTCCACATGGAATGTTTTGTATTATATAAAACTTTTCTTAGGTAGCTTGCATGAGAGTCATGCAGTAATTTTTTAAGTAACTGCACTTAATTTGCAGTTGTGATCAGTCTGACACAATTGACCCAAATGAGTTTGGCTTTTAGTGGTCAAGCAGAGTACAAGAAAAATTTTTCATCAGAAAACTCTAACTCTGGGGTGCAGCATTTTAATTGACATCAGTACATTGGAGGAAAGCACAAGATGTACTTTTTTTTTCCCCTTTCAATTTTATTGATTCAGCCATGAAAAGCCTTTCCTTTACCATAGAATTGTTCAGGTCTAAATGTTTCTTAAAAGCTTTTTGCTAGCAATAGCAGTTTCTTTAAAATGTATTCTTTATTTTTAATTTTAATTTTTACATGTATGTGCTTACTTGGGTATTTTTACAACATGTGTGTAGGAGCCTGAGAAGGCCAAAAGCCTGTATTAGATGTTGTGAGCCATCATGTGGGCACTGAGACCTGAATTCAGGTCCTCCTGCTTTTAACTGCTGACCCAGGCCTATATTCCCAGCTACTTGGGAAGCTCAGGCAGGAAGAGCACAAATTAGAGGCCTCTATAGAATGACTTACTGTCAGCTTGGGTAATTTATTAAGACTTTATTTGAAAACAAAACACCTACCCATGTATGAGACCATAGTTTCAACTTACTGTAGTTTCCTCTTTAAAAAAAAAAAAAGACATATCTTTATACCTCAAAGAAATTGAAGTCTAGGTTATTTTTTTTTTGTTTTTGTTTTTGTTTTACTTCATAACATTAATTTTCGTTTTAGCAATATTGTACTCCAAAAGAATTGACTTTTTACCCCTCTAGACAGAGTTTTTCTGGCCATCCTGGAATTTGATTTGTAGATCAAGCTGGCCTAGCATTCACAGAGATCTGCCTGCCTTTTGCCTTCTGAGGGCTGTGATTAAAGGTGTGCCCCACCTTTAATTTTTTGCTTTGACAGTTGTACTCATATGTGTTGATTATTTCTGTTTCTGATTTGTAAGGAAAAATATGGTTAAAGGAAAAGTGGTTTAAACATGAGTGCTTTGTACAAGGATGTGTCAGCTCACACCTGTAATTACAGCACTTGACAGGCAGTTTGAGGCCAGTTTAGACCTTATAACCTGCTTGTTTCTCAAAACAAGACAAACAAGCAAACAAAAAGCAGGACTAGAGAGAGGGCTCAGTAACTAAGATCTGTGTTGCTGTTGCAGGGCCCCAGTTTAATTTCCTGCAGGGTCATGTTGGGTGAATGACAACCATCTATCACTTCAGCTCCAGGGCAATCTCCCTCTGGCCTTTCATGTGAGTACAACCGTACTCACATGCACATACCCATACACAGACAAACTCACACTGTACACATAATTGAAAACAAAAGCAACCTTAATAAAACAAAAAGCAAAAAAGTAAACGTGGTATTTTAACCTGGAGTTAGTGCTGGAAGGAAGAAGGGATGAAGGATGCCTAGATGAAAAGCTATTTGTAACAAATGGATATTTTTTACACAGGAAGAAAGCTGTCAAATCTAGGTTAGACTTCTTTTCCAACCGTATGTTGGACCAGAAAAGGCTTACAGTTTTTTTGTTGTTTTGTTTTTTTAAAGATTTATTTTAATTTGGGGGGGGGGCGGCAGGGGTAGAGACAGCATGGGATCTCCTGAAGTTGCAGGTACAAATAATTGTAAATCATGTGGGTGCTGGGAATCAAACTCAGGTACTCCGAGTCATCTCTCCAGCCCTGAGACGTAAGTGTTTAAAAAATATTTAATAGTACAGTGGCTGGGGCAGGGCTGTGTGTGCCCAATACACAGTTTTGAAGCATCAAAAGTTTCCTGGACAAATAAGGGAACCCAGCTATTTAGTGAATTTCCAGTTGGCACCATAAGAGCTTTTCTACTTTTGGACATCTTTCCTTCCTTAGGTAAAATATAGTGTTCACATCTGGATTGTTTGGGTTCTGAGGTTGACCTCTGTAATTTCTTTAAAAACAGGTGGGTTAACTGAGTAAACAGATTCATTAGAGGAGGGAAGACATAGAGTGGGTGAAGAGTGCATGTTTTGGGGAGCATGTTGTGACCTGCTTCTGATTTGGCCATCACTAACTAGAGCATCTGGCTTAGTGCTTTTTTGAAAATCCCCTCTCAGTTTTCCTCAGAATGTTGTCTGTAGAGCTGAGAGAGGAGTAGCTCCACTAATAGCATAGTGGAGTTTATGAGCATCTTGCTGTATTAAACTTGCTGTTTACTAACGACCTGTGCTTTTCCACCCTTTCCTTCCCCTTCCTGTTTCTTCCTCCCTTTCTATTTTTCTCCTCCTAGAAGCCTAGCGTGTCTCTCAACACTGGGGCTGCTGCAACACCAGACCAGTGATCTTTCCTAAGCACCGTTACACTCCTAAAACCTTCAGCATTTTGCAGCTTTGCTTTTCCTTCCTGGACACCATGTAAAAGAAGCTGAGGGTAGTTCTTCGGGGCCTATTCCTGCTGATGCCTGAACAAGCCACCCTGCTTCTTGTGTTCTGCAGGGCTTGATGGAACCTCCTTTCCCTTTGTGAGCACAATGTGCAAAATGACTTCTTCAGATTCTAGTATTTTTATAAAAGTCACCAGATGTCATTTTTTTTTCTTGATCTTTTAGATTCATTTTATCATTTAATTCAGCCTTACATTTTTCTTTAAACATTTTTAGTTGGTATTCTCCATTTGTTTTTTTTTTTTTTTCTTTCTTTCTTTTCATATTTAATGGGAATCAGCACACTGTAAAACCAATTGAGAACCTCTGCTTTCATAAAGGGGTTGAGGCCACCGAACTGCAGTGAATTTCCCTTTCCTGCCTCTTCTGCTTCCCTCTGTGAGCTTGCTTTTAGTAAAGGTTAGGCTTTCAGGCAACCAGTGTTTCTTTCCACCTTACTAAAATCGGAATTAATATTTTCCAGTTGAAAAGTTGTTTTTCTGAATTAAACTTTTATTTGTGCTGGGTGTTGTGGTGAGTACCTTTAATCCCAGCACACAGAGGTTGACTTATCTTCTGACTCCCAGTCAGGTAGGGCTACACTACACAGTGACTCTCTCTCTCTCTCTCTCTCTCTCTCTCTCTCTCTCTCTCTCTCTCTCCTTTGTTATTTGGAAGGTGGACCCAAATTTTTTTTATTATTATAAACTATTTGTTGAGACTAGACTCTTCTGAAAATTTGACAACACAGTTGTGAATTGATTTTTTAAATATTCAGTTACTTTTTGGACAAAATCAAAGTATGAAGAGTAAGAATTGGGAACTGGAACACAGCTGTAGTGTTCCTGACTCCTGCAGTAGGGAAGTGGGTAATGTAGGTTAAAAAGCAGTTTTTTTTTCCAGAACAGAGAAGCCAACAGCAGAACACTTGAAGCACTGGAAGCTTAGCCAGCTTCTGAAGCAGTTAAACTTCCCTGTGCCCCCCACACCAGCCACTGCTCACTGTAGCCACCTTCCTACTGTATCATTCAGGCTGTCAGACTTCATGCAGGTGTCACTGCCTGAATGTGAAATTGTTGTCCGATTGGTCCAGAAATTCATTCACGATTAAGGTCTGTTTGTTCTCAGAATTAGAGTTTTGAGCTCTGAACTGCCTTTCCCCCCTTTGCAGCATTCTAGTAGACATGGTACATTATATGTGAAGTCCTGAGTATAAAATCCTTTATCATGAAATGATATCCCATTGCTACTTTTTTTTCTCTAAATTTCCCCAAAGAAATAAGTAAAACAAAACAAAATATAAAACCTAGAACCATGTTATGGCAACATTTTAGGAGTGGAACATAAATCTTAGGCCATGTTTGAGTTCTTAGAGAACTTCTCAGATAAGAACTGGAATGTGAAATGTACTTTTTATTTGATCTTCTGACACAGAATTACCTTTGAAACCTGTTTGTAGTGGCTCACATCTGAGATTTCAGACTCCAGTAAGAAGTTAGAGATTCTAGAAGTAGGAGGCCAGTCTGAGCTATATTGAGTTCA